AATATAACATATATACTTGCAAAGCTAAACGTAAGTGTAGACAAGACATTAAGCAATTACACAGGTAAATATTACAATCAGCAAAAAGCACAGATTGAATTAATCAACACAACAAAACCTACCTCACACTGATGTATTTGTTAAGAATTGCAATATGTAGAATCGCAGACTTAAATATGACACTCAAGACACATTCAACGAATTTAGTTAAAATAAGTCCTAAACAGTCTGAGAAAAATACGACCTTGTATGCAATGCCAAAATATAACTATCAACAGAATGTAGACCATATGATAATATACAAATAAAAAGATGTGGTATGCTTGTTAATAAGAACTCTCCACCAGAGACCAAATGACGTAGAAGTTAACCATTATGTCATCGTACAGCCTTCAACCATGAGCAAAACCCATAGTAAGCTATAAAAGGTCCCGAATTGACAAATGTGAAACAATTCTAAAGAGAAGTCTAATATGACAAGTTTTTTATAGCTGTATAACAAAACATATCTGTTTGTTTTAATTCATTAAACACCAAAATGTTAAAACCTACAGCGATCTTACTATAGTGTTAGAATAATAACCTTTAAGAATACGTTTATTCAAAGGATCAATAAGTTTACACAGATCGTTAATTCGCGGGCTCTGTATATACAATATCCCCGTAAAAATGGGTACAGCCAAACTTCAAACCCAACTATTTGTATCTAATCTTTGTTATTCAATGTAATTGTGGGATATGGTCATCGTGGGCTAATGTAACATCAACGTAAAAAAAAGGAAAATAAGCATAAGGGAACGAAAACTCGTCCCTATTGTCGAAACTGGAATATTGAATTTAGAAAGGGACAATTATTGTTGTAAAATGAAGATTTATTCAAAGGCAGTTCCCTTGAGTTAATTTCCGCAATATCAATAAGAGATTTTTTTATTATTTAAAGCAAAAATATCACCAAGGTAACTTTTCAAGATCTGTACTCAAAATGTTCTTGCCTTGAGATTGTCGGACCAGAAACAGCAGAGGCCCTACATGAGGTAAACACTTTATAAAACTCGTACGTCCGAAGCGCTTTTCTTGATATACCTTCATCAGGAATGCTAAACCCCAGAATTGCCAAATTCATCCAAGGTCAACTTTCCCCGATCGCGCGAGGGAGTTGGCATCCTAGTGTCTTCATATATGAATGGTGAATTTCAAATAAGTATTTGTTCTTAATCATGTCAGTATCGGCGCACTAATGTAAAATATACAGTGTGGTACTCCAGCTGAAATCAATCTTGTACCGGATGACTCTGATGTACACGATTGCAAAATCCATTGTATTGCCATGACAATCGGAACAAGAAATTAAAAATCTGCGGTACACCATAGCAAAAACTATTATTTCTAATGGCAATCGGGAACACAGATACTATTCTATCTGCCCTAGTGATACCGTCAATAGGGTGTGCATTTGTATAAGAACCAATCTAATTAAAATATAGAATATACATGTAGTATAACGAAATCCGAGTTCTATATTTTAATTAGATTGTATAAGAACCGTTTGGGATCTTTGTGACAAATGCTATTGAAACCACGTATACACACAATAGCTTGAATAGTAAGCCGTCGTGCCACTTTAATAAAATTGTTATACGCTTTCAGTAATACATCTACAAATACCGCGCAAACATAACTGTCACTGTAGGTAATAATTAGTCCAGGGCAGATGCGTTTTGGCAAACACAAATGGCTGGTATAAAAAAAAAGCCAAGGGTTAAATAATTTACTATCATTTTTAGTTCCATGTCAGTCATAAAATTCCACAGATTTATTTTCCTAGGCTAAAATGTCCATGTCCTCTATTTTACTAAGAAAATTCCTTGTTCTGAAGAAAATCATATAGATGTAAACAGAGGATTTGATTATTTATGGTAGGTAACACAACACTAATTTTCCTAGCAAAATTCATAACAGGGACTTTCATTATGTTTATAACTTGGGTTTCAATTTTTTTACTTTTCAAATATTCATTATACAAATTTCAAATGAAGTAAAAGACTGTCTAAGAAACGAAATTTAGAAGGGACTTATTTTCCTAATAAAACTGTCATGATAACATGGACCTTTATGATTATGAAACTTGAACTTTCCATGTTTCAATATTTTTTTCATTTCTTCTTCAGAAAACTTTTGATATAAATTTGAAAATTGTCCTTAATATGTGCATGAAATATTTAGCATTAGATGTTAAGCAGCCAATAATCAAATTCAATCAATCAAATCAGATTTGAAATATGAAGGATTTTTTAAGAACTGAAGTTGAAACAGCACATATTTTTATGCCCCACCTAGAGGCATTATGTTTTTCGGTCTGTGTGTCCTTTCGTTCGTCCGTCCGTCTGTCCCGCGTCAGGTTAAAGTTTTTGGTTAAAGTTTTTGGTCAAGGTAGTTTTTGATGAAGTTGAAGTCGTATCAACTTGAAACTTTGTACAAATGTTCCCTATGATATGATATTTCTAATTTAAATGCCAAATTAGAGTTTTGACCCCAATTTCACGGTCCACTGAACATAGAAAATGATAGTGCGAGTGGGGCATCCGTGTATTATGGACACATTCTTGTTTAAAGTAAAATTGTTAACATGGACTTTTATCTCTATTAAAAATGATTTTTCCACACAGTTAACAGTATTCCCAGTCTTTTGCTTCCTGGGGGTAAACAGGTCCCCGGCCGTCCAACTAAATCAGCGGCCATGTTCCATGATTTGCCAGAAAATGAAGTGTTTCTGATTTTCGTCGGGAAATAAGTGCCTGGTTCAAATGACTAACTATGGACTAATTTCTGAAGAAAATTCTTCATGGGACTTAAGTCTGTCCATTAACAGGGAACAAATACTGACCTTTTTATTATTTTTGAGAAATTAATATATACGCGAATTTGATCAGTGATGATGCAATATTGATAAAAGAAACAGACACAGATCAAGAAAACATTTTGTTAGTGTCAACTGAGGAAGGGAGTCAAACCTAAATTTTGTCAATTTTTACATGATATTAGAGACATGCGTGGTTTATATGTCTGGTGATATCAATATCCGAAGAAAAGGCCAGGAATTGGCCACTCTCTGAATTCACAAATGTGACATGTTATATATATATTAAATTATCATATATAGAATTGAGAATTAAAACGGGAATGTGTCAAAGGGACAACAACCCGATCAAAGAGCAGAAAACAGCCCAAGGCCACTAATGGGGTCTTTAAGCGAATGGTAACGCCACACTAAACTCCGTAACATATAAATGAACCAAAATTTAAAAAAAGCACACAAGACTAACAAAGGCTAGAGGTTCCTGACTTGGGACAGGCGCAAAAATGCGGTCGGGTTAAACATGTTTTGTGAGATCTCAACCCTTCCCCTATACCTCAAGCTAATGTGGAATAAACAATAACACAACAATACGCACAGTAAAACTCAGTTTAAAAGAAGTCCGAATCCGATGTTAGAATAGGTAACAGAAAAAACTAAGCAAAATGACAATGATCAACATAAATGAACAAAGGACTACTAGCATGCAGTTATTGACATGCCAGCTCTAGACCTCAATTAAACTGCATGATCGAAAAATTATGTCTTAATCATATGAAAAGCAAGCACAATCCCTCCCGTTAGGGTTTTAGTATCATGCCATCATAAATAATACGAGTAGAACATAACCCGTATGATGCTAACAACTGGTTTTAGAATAAATGTGTTTATTTCCGATGCAAAGACACTATGAGTGAATCAATATTAAGTCCAAAAAATGCCATTTTTAATGACTTGACAACAGTATCGTAATTATATATCCCTTCTGAATAAGTCTGATTAAAGGTTAAGTTAGCTTTTGAGGTGAATGTCGACATTTTTCTGCTTTGTATAGAATATTACCATAAACGATGGAATGTGAAATACCTAAACTTATAGCATGTCTGCACGTGGATTTGTATTTATGAATAATGTCCTTGTACCGATGATGAAATTTAGTAAAAGTTTTGACAAGTTTGTGATTTCGAAACTGAACCCTGGTGTAATTATTTTTTAGTAATACCTGGGAACAGTATATCTAACTATATATGTTCCTGGTAATACATAGATTTCTTTCTATAGAATGAAATACCTTGTTTCATACACGAGTGAATCGAACACATTGAGATATATAAACACCATAAGATGGTTCCAAGGGAATTTCACTCTCTAAAAATGGAAAAATGGTTAATTAACAATAGGAAATTTTAGTCATATGCTTCCCGTTAAAGATATGGATATCAAGATCCAGGAGAGGACAGTGTTTGTTGTTAGTATTGGTTCTATTTAAAGTAAGTTCAACAGGATACATCTCTTTAGTGTACATACTGAAGTCGTCATTATTGAGAGCCAATATATCATCCAAATATCTAAAAGGGCTATTAAATTTTTGTATCAGATGTTGTTTCGATGGGTCTTTGCTGATTTTAGTCATAAATTGTAATTCGTAACAATGCAGAAACCTGAGGTCCGCCATAAGTGGTGCATAGCTAGTCCACATTGGAATTCCGATAACTTTGGCGATATACGGAATCCCACCACCTAATTGATATGCTCATATGGGCCCTTTGATTAGGAAATAAACTGTTTTAGGGGCCAGCTGAAGGACGCCTCCGGGTGCGGGAGTTTCTTCCTGCATTGAAGACCCATTGGTGGCCTTCGGCTGCTGTCTGCTCTATGGTCGGGTCGTTGTCTCTTTGACACATTCCCCATTTCCATTCTCAATTTTATATGATATGATTTGATTTGATTTATAACCTTTGATAAATTTGGTGTGTTAAGAATTGATCGATTTAGCAAAAATAAAAAAGATAATATTATTTGTGCTTAATCATCTTTATTACTGTGCACTTAAATGTTCTAGTATTTTATCAAACCCCAACATTCGCCCCAAAATCTTTAAAAAGTAGGCGTGTCACGCAGTGTGAACTCTTTAATAATGAAAGTAGGAATATGTATTTCAATTGCCACTTCCGGTTTCAATTAGCATGATTAGCAAACTTTAAACGTTAATTTTGATTTAAATAAGAAAAAAATAAGCCTATTATTTATATATTGGTATTCTTAAACATCTACTCAAACACAAAAAATATCCTGCGTGGCGAAGAATAACGAACTTTTGACACAAAAGAGAAATAAAGTTGGACTGCTAATTTTGTCATCAAACAATGGCTGGAGTTTTGTTTGAAGATATTTTCGATGTGAAAGATATTGATCCTGATGGGAAAAAGTTCGACAGAGGTAAGCCAAATAAAACGCTTTATTTTCTAAAAATTCTCAACCTCGTCACTAGGGTTGAATTTTGTCCAAACGTGTTCAATCTCATTTACCGGCAAATGACATTCCAAGATGGCGTCTGCCGGGTGAAACGTGACATTTTCCTTTAGATTCTGACGATATTTGGAATTTAGCCAAAGTGATAATGTAGTTGAAGCTGTAAGCAAAGTTCTATCTTCTTATTTTTTTTGAAACAATGTTCAGAAATTTTGTTCCCACGTTGGAATTCCAGCATGTACCCGGTCTTTTGACGACATGTTTGTTCATGTCAGACCATTCTCATGTGATTGGCTTGTCACATTAAAAGAAGTACAAAACCCCCTGCCGACTGTTAGTACTTCATTCTGGCACAATCAAGAGAAGAGATTGGTACTGTAAAGGTTACTGAAGATCTGTAATTATCAGAAATTGACATGTTTTTATCACTTGAACTTCAACTAAAGATGCAAACTGCTGTATGCTTTTTTGGAGATCATTTAGAAGTAGACTGTAGACCCAGGAACCATGACCTCACACCAGTACAAGTAAGGCTTCAAATTATGTGTTTTAAGTTGGTGCCTTAGAAATTTCTTTCAAAATATAAAATTGCTCTTATTATTTCATGCATAATGATAACAGACATGATAAATGATGATTGATATTGCAGTGAAATTATTTGATCAATGTTATCTGCTATTGATTTACAGTTTATTTGATTAACAGGCTGGAACATGATAGTAACCACCCCTTTTGATCAATCACTTGACAAAAGTATTTCATTGCCATTTCTACTGCTAACTTCAATTACAATAATTATTGTAACAGATTGAAGTCCTTGTCATGTCTTGCATTTTTATTCTGTACAGATAAGCTTTTTTTCCATCACTGACATTTTTCTGACAGAAGCCACATGTTGGATCATGCACTGGTTGCCTAGGAAAGGGAATACACATTACCTACCTGTATGTTACCTGTGGGTTGACAAGTTCATTCACCTTTCAAATTAACCATTACCCTATTATATTTTTTTATTACACTTCAGCAAACTCTTCTCAATTTACATGTAATAGTTTATTAAACAATTTGATTTTTATTTCACTTTTGATTATTTATGTGAAGTGAATTTTCTACATGTACCCATATAGTCTGTGTATTTCATCTTAAACATCCATTTGCATTGATAATGCTTTTTGTTTGAAAGAGGGCATGGTTTTTAGCTAATAAAGTATAATATAGGTTTCCCCCTTCTGCCTTTAACATAGTCCTCCTCAGTTATCATTATTACTCTAACAAGACTATAACCCAGTTTACAGTTCAAGGTATTTACCAAAGTTTTGCATATTATCACTAATTTATTTTGTTCAAATTAAACAAAAAATACGAAATACATAGGGTATCCTATGTCTGAGCCTCTATTATATTAACTGCATATATTTCAGTTACTAGCAAATTATTTTGTATACTTTATAAAAATAAGTTCAACTTGTAAAAGGGGGATGGTTCTTCATTTGCTCTACCATCTACTTCAACATTAAATTTGATGAAAATATTTTTTTTTTTATTTTCGACTTTATTTGTTTATCAAGTTGAAACAAATGAAAAAGGAAAAGCATTAACAAAAGACATGTATGTTGAGTTTTCTTTATGATATTTTCTTTGATTATTATGTCAAAAGTTACCTGAAGATAACTGTAAAGTCATGAAGTACAAAATCTACAATCAAAACATGACAAGGTTACTTGCATGCACTGATATTTGATCATTCTTCCAAAGAATATTTGCTCTCTTTAGAAGAATTGCTGCAACTGATTAGAAAAGTCATGTCTCATAACAGAGCATTACAGAGCTTTTTTTTTATAACAATCCATAATCATTGATTTCAATATGGATGTTTACAATTGTAAATTTTATGTAAGTCATCAGGTTCAGACCTGGCAGGTTGCAAAGTGATTTGATTTGATCAATTCAATTTTCTATTAAACCATGCATGGTCTTCCTTTCCACAAAAATGTACATATACATGTACCTCATCAGCACCATGGTTGTCTTTGATATACCATGTTGTCATTTAGGGAATTTGGTTAGAAATCGCAACTCTCTTTGACTCGTGCAGATTTATTTATTTTTTTGTATTGTTGGTTTACCATCTCGTTGATATAAACCCTGAATCTCCTTTATTCCTATAGTTTCTGTACCATTGTTTTATAATCTGTACATTTGTTCCTCACAAGTTATCATATTTCAGTGTAAGTAATCTTATTAGTGTTTCTTTTGCTTATCTAGGATAAGAATGTTTTTGGAGTTCATATATATTATATAATTCACAGCACTTATAGGAAAGCCAGGATTTTTCACTGGCAACTATTCAAATTTATGAAGTATGAAAATAAATACTTTCTAAAGAGACAACAGATTCTTCTTTATTATATAGTATGTTTTATTTTGTTTTTTTTAAAAGCTTTTGTCCTTCTGACAATGTTTATAATGATATATCTTTATTTCAGTATCCAGATTGTTTTGTGAGTCTGAATCTTTCAAGATGGACCTGATTCTGGATGTGAACACTCAAATTTATCCTGTTGATCTGGGTAAGTGAATTACAAATGTGTATCAGAAATTAAAAAAAAAATAACCTTTACATATATGTTCATTCTTCAAAAAAGCAGTTTATACCTAGGGGAATAAATGTCTCATTAGTTCACCTGGTGTAAAAATGTAATGTCTCCTTAAGGCTATGGATGTCTTCCTCCTCATCAACTACAACAAAAAACAATGAAAAACCAAATTTTTATTGAAAAAGTGCCAGAATGTAACACTTAATGGTCATATTATTTTGGAAAAATACTGTTAGTGACCTACCAATATTGGATTATCCCTGTCCCATGGAATATGCTGGTCTTTATTTGTTTTAAGTGCATTCATACATGTACATGTCTATGTTTGGTTAATACCTTACATGTATGTATGCCTGTTAAAACATGTAGCTGTACTGTGTTGTTTTAAGTTAATATAATTTGTGTACACAAAAAATATTCTGAAGTATTTATTGCCATTGATTTCTCATGAAGACACATTTTTTTTGCTTATCCAGTGAATCAGTTTTCATGAAACTTCTTTAAATTCCATGAAATTTGGCAGACATCTTTCACTTCTCAAAGCTTTTTGCATTCCCAAACAGTTCTTGGGTGGAATTTTGGGTGTCTGTGTGTACAAATGGTTTCAGTTGGTGATTTTTTTTTATCAGTGATCATGATGTGAACTTATCAGCCTAAGTCGCTGAATAATTTATTTGTTGCAGTTTGTTTTATCCGTAAGACAAAATTTGCTGTATGAGGCAAAGAAAATGCTTAATGAGCATTTGGAAAATTTGACTTATTGTGTGCTGAAATGCATTAATAATAAAATAGTAATTTAATATGTAGCTTGGTAGAACATAAGTAACTCCTATAGTAATTTAATGTGTAGCTTGATAGAACATAAGTAACTCCTACAGTAATTTAAAGTTTAGCTTGGTAGAACTTAAGTAACTCCTACAGTAATTTAATGTTTAGCTTGGTAGAACTTAAGTAACTCCTACAGTAATTTAATGTGTAGCTTGGTAAAACATAAGTAACTCCTACAGTAATTTAATGTGTCGCTTGGTAGAACATAAGTAACTCCTACACACCATATGTGACAACTTGGGAGTATATAATCCTTCAGAAACATCTGGAAAGCTGCAAGTTCTCTTTCAGAATAGAATGACTTTGTTTTAAATTATTATTATTATGTACATGTACATGTATGAGGACTTGATATTTACATGTATAAACTAACAACAATGATGTCCTGATGTCCAGTCTTTAGGCTGAAGAAAAACTTAGTTTTTGTCCAAAATTTAAAAGCTTGTATTTGAAATGTTTAATAGTTGCTATGTCATTACAGCCAATCGGTAGTATGTGTACACCAGTCAATAACAGGCTAAGATATCACTGGGGATATTCACTCATATATTGATCAGTTCCTGTAAAAACTTGATTTTTCTCAAATTGAATGTTTAAATAATGTTTAAATTACTATTCATTGGATTTGATGGAAAATTCAGTATACACCTATATAGCTAGCATAAAAAATTAAATAACCCCCAGCCAAGAGTAATTAAACAAATTAAAAACCTGACAAATCTACAGGTACTTACAGGTAAATGGTGGGTTAAAGTTCTATCTACATATATAAAATGGGTTGAGTCAGGAAGTAAAAAGGCAGAGATCTTTCTAAACATATTTAGTCTAAAGTAAGGTTTGGACACTAACCTAAAGCCCAAAGGTCCTTTCAATTAAAGAAAACATTTAATAGTTAAAATAGTTAAGTAGATTTGCTGGCATCTCATTCCTCATTCTTAATCATTTAAAATTGATTACCAGAGTTGAAAGAAGTATTCAGAAAATTATCTAGGAAAATATGACCCAAGTCAATAGACTGTTTTGTTTGTTTGGTTGCTTGGGCTCCTTTTTGAATTTGATCATGCATTTGGCATTACAGACTTATGGTCTCGAGTATGTATCTGATAACGGTTATTTTCAGTAGCGCTGGTCTTGCACACTGAAATCAAGTACTTTTCCTGATAATTCCAACATTCACTAATGAATGTTTATATAAAAACAAAAAAAAATGTAGAGAGCTCTTCATCTTAATAGCCACTGGGATGGTATGCAGTTGTACTAATTAAGTGAATGTTTGTTTCTAAACAACTTTTATTATTGTGTATGCAGCCATTATTAATGATAACGGTAATTAACCCAGACTGATGTATCTTAATAGCAATGTCACTTACAGTAGTTATAACCAACATATAGACGAGGAATGATATAGCATGTTTGTCGGCATAGTTTTGGTCAGTTAAATCTGTTGGTTGCTCTTTATTTGTATCATCTTGCACATCAGTTTTAGAGCAGGGCCAATTATTATAAATTAAGCATTCATCGTTGTATGTAAGAATGGCCACATTCTTGTTAAGTGTGTTTTCTGGAATGGTGAATTTGTAGGTTCCTATAGATTTAAAACATGTATATGGACTTAATAGTCAATTGTTGCTATTAACACACTCAAATTGGTCTCACAATCATAGAGATATAAATAAAGAGGGAAAGTCCATGTGTAGTAGGATTGTGGTTACTCCTACATAGAAATAGATAAACATACAAGTCAGAAGATCATGTCTAAACATGTCAAATTTAAACTATTGATAACACTTATCTTCTAAAATCACTCAAATACCTTTCATAGTTGAAATATTACCATTGATATTTACACAAAAGAATATTTAATTGAACTCATTTAGCTAAGCCAATACAAAAAAAATGAAATAAAAAAAAAGGCCTAGTAGGATTTTTTTTTAAACTAGATGTGTTAATGGCTGGTTCTTCCTTTAAAACATGTACAACTGTTGGATTTAAGGACACATATTTAGACTATAACATGGTTAAAGTAGAGAAGAATAAAAGGAGGTACAGTGTACATGGTAATGAAACTGCAACAAAAGATTACACATTACAGCATCAGAGGCATTAATACCTTGGTTGTATGTTTATGTATGATTTGGTATTGACTGGGGTCATTGGTTCTGCCCTCAGATGATTGAGGTTTAACTGGGGTATTTGGAATATCATTTTGTAAGTTAAGATCTACTGGTTTGGGCAGTGGGACATAGATTCCCCTTGACCATATGCAGTCCCAAAACATACTTCTTTGATTGCACTGGAATGTCAGGCCTGTACTTTATAAATCAATCAATCATTTTATGAAAATTACATTTTTATGTGAACATGCAATATGCAGTTTTGATATTTTCCTTAAAGGTGACAAATTTCGTATGGTATTAGCCACAACTCTTAGAGAAGATGGTGCTCCTGATGATGGAGAGTTCAATCCTACAGATACTGGACCATCAAGAGCAGACAGCTTTGAATATGTGATGTACGGCAAAGTTTACAGAATAGAGGGGGATGAATCAGGACCTGATACAAGATTGTAAGTTATGGTGGCCATTTTGAATTGTGATATAGTTTTGGCAAACTGCTGTTAGTAAAGTTTAATATGTAGATATATATTTGATGTTGTAATTCTGTGGTAGATTTGATGAAAATTTCAGTGTAGAAGTTAATTGCAAGAACCCTTATAAGATCAGTAGTTATTAATGAACTTGAAAAATATATAATAAATATAAAAAGGGTGTAAAATGCATCATAGTCTGTAGAGATGGGAGCAGAAAAAAAGATTAACCCCCAAGACTTTTACAATAACTTGCATTTCATATAATGATTTTATTACTGGACTATTTGATAGTTAATTGGAAGAATGGGCTAAAATAAATAAAAGACACTTAAGTGCAATCATGGCAAAAAGTTAATTGGAAGAATGGGCTAAAATAAATAAAAGACACTTAAGTGCAATCATGGCAAAACATATTGTAACATTTAAGTTTTTGATAGAACTCCAGTTAGACTTATATATCCATCCAATCATTTCAGCTTAAACTTTTAATTTTTTCTTCCATATGATAAAAATAATCTTTATTCTAAACTTAAATAGATTGTTAAATTCTTCAAATTTTTCACTGTATAAAATTCCAGGAAGTAGAGTTTGTTTATTATCTCTTCTATTTTCCATTGTACATCTTATGTAACAAAATCCCCAAAATTGTCACAATATATATGTATCTCACTCCGGATTTTTTTTTTTTTATAAAGTCTGTATTAAATGCATACTATTTACATGTACAGTTCCTGTTCAAAAGGACTATAAGTTTTATAAATCTTAGTAGAAATAGATATTGGGATCAATTTATTTAAATAACATGACGAAGCCTGTCACAGCTGCTTAATGACTGAAGGAAAATGTCTGAACTTGTATGTAAGTTTTATAATACCTTTACATCTGATAAAATGTAATTAAGATTTATGATAATTTATTTGATCACTTTGAACTTATAGAGATGAATTGAAATTATCATTTTTATGGTTTATTTATTTTTTTCAACTTTTTACAATGAATTGTGGAGAAAAGTTGCTCCATGTTGAAGTGTCGTATGTAGCGTTGTCTGAGTCAGTCGGGAGATGAATTTAATTATAGTCTTGTCTGCTTCACATAAAAAGATAGCATAGTAGTATATTTTCCTTTGACAGTATGCCAGGGGACCTGTGATGTGAAATAAGTACACAAAGATATTTAGGATAAAACAAGTTCTCATTATTTTCATTTTTAAACTAAAAAATAATTACTACAAAAATTCTTTTGACATCTTTCAAAATAGTCTCTTTTATAAGGCAAAACAAATTCCTTCTTATTCATGATTGAAACTATGAATATCTTTTAAACAAATATATCCTGCTTTGAACCTCTAAATACCTGTAGATAGTAATGTACACTTTGTGATGTCATAATCATGTGACCTCCAAAGGTCATTGTATAGACTTATCTGGGTAAGCATTTTTTTCTCAAACTTCACTTATTTGAATTTTTACTTCAATATTTTTCAAGAAATTTTGTAGATAATAGTCTTAAGAGTATGCATTTAAGTTTTTAAGCCTGGAAATTTTGATTTATTGGAGAAAATAGCAGTAGTAACATTGTAATGACAACTGATGCTTGTACAAATACACAATATGTATGTGTCGGAACTTGTTGGGGTTGTTAAAGGTATTCATTAATCTTGTTAAACTTATTGATCAGATTTTTCTTTTTTTTTTATTTTATACCTTTGAAGAAGTTATTAAAGTATGATATTAGAAAAATAAAAATTAGTTAATTGCAATTTAATTTAAAATGTGAAATGTAAATGATTAGGACAATGTAATTATTGACCGTATTAAAAAATAAATGCTTCATTGACTTTTTGAAATAATTGTACATGTTTGAACATAGTTTAAACATACAACAATTGCAGTGTACAAACTATGATCATTATTTATTTTGTATCCCTGCCAGTTAGTCGTGCTTGACATTTGGTGTGATGTACTATCAGATATATTTTGCAACAGGGGAATTCCATACACTGTTATTTATAAAACTGATGATATTTTGAATTCACTGGTTATAAGAAGATTTTTGTAAGGTTTGTACTTTCTTTTTTATGTTAGGCATCTTACATGAATTAAAAAGATCTTACGTTTCATTTCTTTATTATAAGGTGTCATATTTTAGCTGATAGTAATTTATCCTTTTCTTATCTCTTGGCTTGCCTTTTTAAATGCATGATTAAAGATCTAATTTCAAGGCCTTTAACTGCTGTTTTCTTTTTTTTTTTGGAAAGCTGAGATTGCATCTGTGCAGATATACTTGCATTCTTAGAAACAGTTTTCTAGGTTATTCATGGAGTCACTTGATAGGATGCAGTTAATATACCCTTATTATTGACAGCTGGTTGCCATGGCAAGATGATGGAGACTTCTGGTATCAGCTGAGTAAAGCAATCACCATAGCAACAAGATGTAAGCTTCCTGTGGAAAATCTTGTCGAGAGAAAGGTACCATTGGGTGTTCACGTTGAAAAATAAGGTGAACACAGCTGGTGGTATCTTTTTCTAGGGAAGAAAATCATCCTAATAACAGCATTCTGATGGTATGGAGGAAAAGGAAAAGCAATGGCAGTGTTACCAGCTACTGTAAAATTAAACTAATCAGTATTTGTTCCTGGTACCCATAATTGCTGAGTATCTGTTCCTGTTTTCCTCCATTGTGATATGTGATATATCACACAATCATTCTATATGAGTAAACATCAAGATATATGACCAGTGCCTTGGTTAATTGCTTTTTCATTCTGCTATAATCAGTTAGTTTAATATGCCTATCATTTCACCATTGATATTGTCTGCACTCATCACTTTCCTTCAATTCACTGTGGTTGGTTTGTCTGTACTGGTTGTTTTGGTCATATCACAGTTACATCCTCATCTTCTCATTTATCTTGTTGTCAAGGTTATTTAGTATGACCCTATGATGTTGTCTTAGTAACTTAAGTGTAAATATTAGATGTTGTCATGGTAACTGTTATAATGTTGTCATTGTAATTCAAGTGTGATACAGTAATGTTGTCATGGTGATAGGTTCAAGAAAATGATATTCACATTGCTTATATTTCTCTTCACATATTGATACTCCATATTTATATGGTTTTTCACATCTACATTTATTCACTTTTATCTGGTTCTATTTTGTCAAGTCAGCACATTATCATATCATTCATGTGTGGTTGTCTTAGTGATAGAGGTTCAAGGTCATGCACCAGTGTGAATTACAGGAGAGATTGGTGGAGGCGTTAAGTTCTTGTACAGGAAAAATACTATCTCATAACTCACTAGTTCTCTTGTGTCTCACTTTATGTGAGAAATTACTTACAAGAGAATTTAGTATGAGACCACTTGACTTTTTTCCTGTGCAAGATAGTTCAACACACAGTATTACAGAGCTGAACAGTGTTTCCTCTTAAAGCAGGAATTATAATTATCAATCTGTGGACTAACAATCAACTAAAAGTCAACAATGTTTGGGGAGATATACCTCTTTCTTTGGACAATGTCCATTTTTTTACAAACTTTATAATAAATATTTTAATACGTGTTGATTTCTTTTTCACTGAATATCGGCCAGAGGGAACACTGGCCAGTTTTCTGTAATGGTAAAACTTACACACAAACATCAACACACACACACAATCCAAGATAAACACAACACTGTGTGCTTTCCTGTATGGAAATTGTTTTGAAGGTTAATTATAGTAATTTGAGCTTATTTTTGGAGCAAACTACATTGAAAGATCTTTATTTGTGAAGGATTTATTGGTTTATAAGAACTGCAGATTTGAATTTCAAGTAGAATACCAAATTAAGATGGTTAGAATGGGGTATTGGTCATGACTGTAAACTTTGAAATTTTGTAAAAATAATGTTTACGCTAAACATTTTTCTCCATTTAAAGACAATAGTAGCTCTAAAAATAAAAATGTTAAGTTCATCTGATGCTAAGGATAGCATTGTTTGATGCTTGACGATAAATGTCATTCCTACATTAGGTATATTCATATATTTTTGGATTATTTGTGAAGCACAAAATCTTTAACAATATATAAAAAAAAAAACATAAACCAGTGATTTTTTTATGAAACAAAGAAATTGGAATCCACTTGTACTGTTGTACTGGTAAAGTTCTTTTACAGTGTCTATAATATGAATGAAAAATTTTGTTCTACAACAGAACCTGAAAAGTGTGACTTATGGTCAAGTTCCAATTCTTTCTCCCTTCCTTTTAGTTCAAATTCATATGAAATATGAACAGAGAATAGAATTGACAATAATATATCATATCTTGAATAAACTATGATTTAAAGGACGGTCTGATATATTCAACTAGTAAAGCTCTTGTAGAAATCAAAAATATAATTCAGGAACCATAATTTTCTGAAATTTAATATGACCTCAATTTTGAAAGTTAACTAAGTGGACTTTAGCCTTGATGTAAATATTATATTTAATAAGATAAATTTCACAAAGCAGGATACACTGAAAATACCCAGTATGTAATGCATGAATTAAATCTTTTGACATGATAATGTATTGTGATATATATACATTATATATTACATATACTTGCATCATACCTATTTTAAATATCCTCCTACATGAATTAATGTTGACGTTTATATGCAAGGTGTATTCTATGAACAGGGTAGATTTTTTGGCTTATATCCAACTCAAACATGATTGTACATTTTGAAAAATAATCAATGTATTAATGTAAAATAGTTTGTTTTTAGTTTTGGAGTTATCTCCCCTTGGCTGATATTATATAGGTTGCCTTAACTTTCAAAAATTGATTTTTTACATATCATTGCAGGGTAGTTTAAGACATTTTTTGTAAACATTTATTTGATAATTTGAGTCACCTTTTCTTTTTAAATCAACATTTTTTTGGGGCATTTGTGCTACCGTTGTAGTATCAAAATGTCCTGTCGCCTTCTGGACTCGAAAAAAA